CCTGGTCACGTGTTAGAACGATGCTCTTATCTATATATTCGTAACATTCTGTCTGGTTCATAGTCTGAAAGCACTTCTCACTCAATTTATGCAACAGCTATTTTTTTTTTAAATTCCTGTTATTTTTTCTACATCTGAACCAGCAGATGTGTTTTCAAATTTCCATCTCCGATTAGAAAGCTAGATTTAATAATAAAAATCCTGGAAATCAAATGGCGTTAGACAACCGTATTTAAAAGTAAAATATAAACTTTTTTTTGTGACATCATGCAGTTTAGAGCACACATTTTCAGGATGCGTCTTTTCTCAACGTGCATGATCCTTTCTGTGTGAAATAAATTCTGCATGTTTCCACTCTGTTCAGTGTTGTGGTGGGTCCACTCTGGTTCAAACTATCAGTGATGTTTTGCAGGTGGAATTGCTGTTTTATAATAGTGTGAATGTTTATGAAGCATCCACACTATTGTGATCCATTTTTCTTCCATACGTTTTTCGGCATCTTTCTCGTTCAACACTTTTTGTGTTATTTCATCAAATCAAACGTTCAACTCTTTCAAGACAATCCTGCCATGACTGTTGGTATTGGTGCAACTTTAGCTTTTTGAAACATTTAGCCTTTTCTGCCACTGATTTCTTCATGAACTGAGTTAATTTTTCATCCTTCATATCTTTAGATCTGTTTACAATAGGGGTGCACCGATTGCAGTTTCTGGCCTATCACCGATCACCAATTTCTAAAAAGTCTGACCTGCCGATTCCAATTTTGGCCGATTTTGTTTTATAAGCAACACTGTCATGTGTTACAAGGTCACAATTTTCCAATCTTATTTTATTGAAAAACATACCATTGAACAATATCCTAGAAACAATACAAACTTATTTTAACTGGCCATGAGATCGTGCTCTGAAATATAAATGAAGTTTAGACAACTGTTGTTAAAACTACAAACATCTGTAAAATCTGTTTCTCGTTTAAGTATCGGACGATTTCCGATTGCCCAAAATTAAGGAAATCGGGGCCGATAAATCTGTGCACCCCTAGTTGACAACCTTTTACTTCTCCTTTCACATTTTGTTATGCTTCAGCTTCCTTGTGCAAAATAAACTTTTTTTCAGCTACTTTCAGCTACTTTCAGCTGTTTTGTGCTCCTTTCAGATTCTTTCTGACAACTAAAACATTTTTGTGATTCTTCTAACTTCTTTCTGCTCTTTTCAGTTGATTTCTGCAAGTTTCAACTTTTTCTACTATTTTTTTAGCAGTTTTTATGTTAATTTTAGCTTTTTTAGCTAATTCCACATTATTTGCACTCTTTTAAAAATTTTCAGCCAAATTCAGCATAAATGTGCTCTCTCTACTTCTTTCTATTAATTTATGCTTCTTTCTGTATTTTAGCTACTTTTCAGCTAATTTCTGCTTCTTTTTTTTCAGATAATTTCCTCTTCTTTGTGGTCATTTATGCTTCTTTTAGCCTAATTGGGCAAACATGTTGTTTATGATTTCTTCTGCTAATTTAAGATTGTTCTACCTGTTCAGACACTTTTTTTTAAAGCATTTTTTAGCTAATTTCAGCTGTTTTCAGATAAATTCAAGTTCTTCATGGTAATTTCTGCAACTTCCAACCTAATTAACAACTTTATGCTAATTTCAGCATGTTATGCTCATGGCAACTTATTTCAGATACTATTTTGCTACTTTTATAATACTTTTAGCTTTTTTCAACTAATTCCACATGTTTTAGCTCATTTCAGCTTTTTCTGCTTACTTCTGGTAGTTTAAGCTTCTTTCTACCTTTTTAGCTACTTTTTAGATGTTTTTGCTAATTTCAGCTTTCTTTAGCTGTGTGCTAATTTCTGCTTATTTAAACCTAATTCAGCAAATATGCGTTCTTTCTGCATTCTTCTGCTAATTTAGGCTAGTTCTTCCATTGCAGCTAGCATGTTTTTAGCTAATTTTAGCTGTTTTTCAGCAAATTCTTCAGCAATAAGAATTCACACAGCATTTTTGCAGGAAATGCAATTTCTCTAGTTTTGTTAACCATCACTGAATTACTAACAAATAATTAAAAGCCACCCTCTTTTCTCTCCTTCCAGTACTAAAGCATGTTTCCTCCTGGCTTGTTGTTCTTGCCTTTATCATTTTAAGTTGTGCTTGTTTATCGCCAGTGCTTATGCTAGTTTGTCTCTAAAGATGTGATCACATTTTTAATCAGTATTTATTCTTCAGAAGCACCGTGCTCCCTGCAGTCCTTCAGGTCCAGGGCCACGATGATTATATTTGCTGATGTGTCATTATGCTCTACGCTGAAGAATTGGTTTTGTCTTGTAACTGAGCTTGCAGTGAAATTTAATTAATCTATCAAACTTTGTCCTACAAGACACCAGCCAAGGAAACATAGCTTGTAGATGCTGTGAATATTTATTTGGTGAATTATTTCTGTCAAAACTAATTGTTTTTGAATTAATCTTTAAATAAATAAATCTGTAAACGCGTACGTGTGCTTTACTGATTTTTATCTTTGAAACTGGTGACAGTCACACGGCTCTGTCCTAAATCAATCTTTTTAAGAGCCTTCATGTTCTCCTGAAAGACAATTATATTTATTTAAAAGAAAAAAACTTAACTAAACTCCTATTTATTGATACAATAAAAGTATATATATATTTTATTTAGAATCCTGTCCTGTCTTCCCACACCTATTCAACAGGTGATAAGGGTGTGTCGCCTGTACGCTCATGTTGAAGTCAAGGGGAGTGTTGTGTTGCCAGCAGGGACAAAGATCAGATTACTTCTGTGTGTGCATGTGTGTGTGTACAGTGTGTACATTGTGTGTGCATGTGTACAGTGTGCATGTGTACAGTATGTGTGTACCGTGTGTATTGTCTAAGGAGATGATGCAGCACATCTTGAATTCCTTCATGTAATCTATCACCTATATTACTGTGATTTTTGTGCATAAAATACTTGAAGCCAGTTTGATGAACTACTTTTAGAAGACTTGCTTAGCAAAGTTGTATGAAAAGAGTGGATTTGTACCAAAAATATATAATTTTAGTAATTTGTCCTTGATCGTTATTTTGCTTTGATGACATTTGTGTGACTCTGGGTTTTAAAATAATAAGCTGGTTGTTTAGTCTCTGGTCATTAGTTTTAGTTGAACATATGAAGGTCAACGTTCTACTTCTTTTGATAAATATGTTTCCTGTAATATTGTGGCCTTAGGTTGTACACCCTGGACAGGTCACATGGACACATAGAGACAAACAAGACAGACAGCTATTCACACCCTCACCTAGTGACAATACAGCCAGTTACCCCAACATGCATGTTTCTGGACTGTGGGAGGAAATCTGAAGATCCACTCATGTACTGGGGAAACATGAAAACTCCACGCAGCAAGGCCTCAGCTGGGAGTCGAACCTGCAAACCATTTGCTGCAATGCAACAGTGCAAACCATCTCACCATGCTGTTTTTATGTCCATCCATTATTTTTTTGTTCTCTCCTTCCTTTTCGGGTTGCGGGGGTCACTGGTGCCCATATCCAGCAGTCACTTTGCGAGAGGCGGGGGACTTATTTTCTAAACCTTTAAACCTCTGTTGTGCATCACACGTGTGTGTGTGTGTGTGTGTGTGTGTGTGTGTGTGTGTGTGTGTGT